TATTACACACCAACATCCGTGTCGGCTCGCAAAAGCATTATTGAGCTATTTATAAATAATATTAATTTAGTATTTAATTTAATATTTTAAATATTTTAATATAACATTTATATTTAATATTTTCTCGTTTATACATTAATTTCCATATTTTTATCAGTTTTACATTTTTGTGGGGAAAAAAATCGTTTTTAAGTCTGTTTTTACGTCTTAAGGAATAAAATAGTCGTTTTCCTTAAATGGTAGAGAAAGGGAAATTCCATTGGGAGTTCTCGGACTTGTCTGACGATTAATATTTAAATTAATCGTTATATTTTTAAATTGTAAAATTCTTCAATCATTTGGTAATCATCAGTTTATAAGACTGGATCTATCTTTGCTTTTTTTATTGCCGTTCTACGAGAATCGAATGAAAACTCGGTTCAAAACGGACAATCTTCGCTGAAAAAATATCTTATTTAAATGTCGACTCGATCAAACGAGATAAATCAAAATTGAAGACGGCGAGACCAATAGCGATAAATTACATTTCAATCTAATAACAATAAATCATGATTGATAAATTGATATTTAATATCTTCGTCTGGTTCTTCTATTAATTCCATTCCTTTAATCCGTTTATCAATATTAAAACACATTATTTATATAATTATGTGGCATATATAGTATGAAAACGTTTCCATTTAATTATCTTCTGCTTGTTTTAAATCCTACGTAAAAATTACTTCTAACGTTGTTAAAGTTGTGGATAAATATTCATTGGATTATTTCACTGTTTCAGATGTGGTGCGAGTCTTATACTGCTGCATCACTGAAGTGGATGCTGGATGATTCTCATTGTCCCAATCACGTGAGACTTGAGGCTGTATTAAAGAATTCCAAAGAATTTAGTACAGCGTGGAATTGTCCTGCAGGATCAAACATGAATCCATTGAAAAAGTGTCGTGTGTGGTAATACTTGCGTCTTCAACGAATTGTAATTAAAAGACAATGTTATTTAATACTGTTGATTAATCAAATGTTTATCATATATGGGGCCAGTAAAGCTCGCGTGCAAAATAATCTAGCGTTAATTTAAACAATTAATTTTTCATCTCAGAAGATTCATGGCAAATTACAATAATGCAATATCTAATAGATACGAGTTTTTGTATGTTTTCTTTTTACTATTTCGAATCAGCAAGAATTGATATAGATTTACGGAATTTTGTGCATGAACCGCAGTTATTTTAATTATTGTTATCCGTTCGTTATACGATAATATAACGAATTATTCTTATGTAATTTCCTCGTACGATCTTTCGCACTGATATATGTTGGGGACGCCCAATCGTTATCGAGAAATCAAAGATTGGTCCAATAATGTTTATAATAAAAAGTTTTATTTACGTACAAAAAAATATTTCCTGACTCTTATAACCCTTTTAATCTTAATATTTTTCGAATTTTTAGACATCTAATCAACACCTTTAATCTCATCATTTCGATTATAAGATTAAATTATACTAAAATACTATACATATTTTAAGTTTTTTTTCATTAATTTTTTTTTATATCGCAATACTTTTTTATATTTATTTCTGATAAAGATAAAATATTAAGTTGATAAAGAAGTTTCTTCGTCTTTTAGTTTTATTAGTGTGTAAATAATGTTGCGTAGAAAATTATTTATAAGAAACTCAATTTAAAAAATAAATTGAAATTAGAAATAAAATAAAACAAAAGATTGCATAACATAATTAAACAATGAAAATTCTAACAATTGTATACAGGGTGTCCCAGAAAGGTCGTATGTCCTTTCACTGGCAGATTCTAGAGAGCATTCTAAGATGAAAACTCTTATACGAAAATGTCGAGGCTATAATACTTTTCAAATTATAACCGATTAAAGTTATCCTATTACGGCGTCTGAAATTCGCGCGCTCAGGCATTGCGCGCGCGATTGCGGAGTGCCCTTGTCCATTGACTCACATTTAAATATTGATATAATTGATGCGCTTATCGCATATTATACTGATGTTAAAAATAATCATAAATAAACGAGACAAAACTTAAAAGTGATCTCTTTGTCATTGTATGAAAAATTGAGACGTCTACAGCAAAAGTAACCTAACTGTCAAAATTCGATTTTTAAACTTAAAGCGTTATTAACTTATAAAATCATTAATGTTTTTAAATAAGAAACTCAATTTCGATAATTAGATATTTTTGCGATAAGCGCATCAATTATGTCAATATTTAAATGTGAGTCAATGGACAAGGGCACCCCGCAATCGCGCGCGCAATGTATGTACATACGTACCATGCCTGAGCGCGCGAATTTCAGACGCCGTAATAGGATAACTTTAATCGATTATAATTTGAAAAGTATTGTAGCCTCGACATTTTCGTATAAGAGTTTTCGTCTTAGAATGCTCTCTAGAATCTGCCAGTGAAAGGACATACGACCTTTCTGGGACACCCTGTATATGTATATTAAAAATTATGTAATAAGAACTGAAAAAGGGGAAAAATATAATTTAAATTTTGGAAAATTTATTTATTTAAATATTAAGTAAAATTAGAAACTATTTAATTCTTAGATACGTGGTTTTCTAATAGCTTATAAGAATTAAACAGAAATGTGATTTTAATAAATTTAAATAAAGTACTGTTATAAAAAAATATAGCTTAAGTGTTCTTCAAATAATTATCTAAAACACTAACAAAGTACTTAAAAATCGACTGTCTTATAAAAATTTATATATTCATTTCCGTTATTATCGTCCGTGATTAGTCGCTTATACGAATGATAAGTATAAAAAAATGCAGTTTCAAAGAAATATGTATCTATGCTAATAATGTTATTATGCTAAAAAAAAATATAGGCTTATTTAAAAGAAATTTGTGTAATAATAATCTGCATAATCTTACAAATTTAACATTTTATTATAGACTAATTAGTCAGATATTTATGTCGGCAATCAATAATATCTACATTCTTCAATTATTTTCAGATGTATCGAAACCACTTGATAAACTTATCCGAGATAAATCGACTTATCAGAGATAAATCATCTTTAATAGGTCGTCTTTGATAGTACCTCGTTGATGCCTAGAAGAAGGAAGATCTTTCCAATAGCTTTGATTTAATCAGTATGATTTGAGTATCATATGAGTATCATCAGAAAAGTAACTAGTGCAAGTTTTCAAACATTCTTCTCTTGTATATTGAAGAGTTAAATATCAAAATAACCTGTTATTAAGGAAAAGGCACGAGCGAACTTTCCGATCAATTCGACACTTCAGGGATAAGTCATCAAGTTGAATAATTCTTCGGCGTAATATGTATTTCTACTAAGAAATTCCAGTAGCCTATATTCAAAACGTTCATATTACAAGATAAACATCCTAGTATACGTAACCACCGTTGGCATCGGTGGGTTGCACGTATTCCTGCTTGCTGCTGGCGCTGGAGGAGCCGGCTGCGGTGACGGTACATCCGGCGCACGCGGTGGAGGGCTTGTACGCTTGCTGCGTCTGCTTGATGTGATGCGTGATCGGCTGCAAGGCGGGCTTGATGATTTCGGTCTTCAGCGCTGGATTGTCAACCGTAACCGTGTCGCTGCTCGAAGAGGACAGATGCACTGCAGGTGCCGCGGGAGATTCACCAGATCCTCCCGGTAATCCCGGTATGAAGGACGGGAAAGACGGGAAGGACGGGAAGGACGGCAGAGAGGGGATGGATGGGAAGTTCTCGAAAAAGTTCTGGAAGCCTTCCAGAGGACCAGAGGCGAAGGTACCGATTTCCGGTATGAATGCACGGTCCGACGATATCACGTGCGGGAACGTCGTCTGGGCGTTGTGGTAGAAGGTCTGGACCGGAGTAGCCTTGGTGTCCACCGTCAAGTGGTGCTGATGAGCAACGGGAACGCCGGTTTTTACGTAATGGGGGACGGGGTACGGCACCGGACGGGGCACTTCCACGGGGTACGGACGATTCACGGTGACCTGAACAGGCTGGGGCACGCGGACGTAGTAGGGCTTGGGAATTTCGACGGTGTGTGGGACGGGAACGGGGACGGGGACGTGCTTGGTCACCGGTACTTGGTACGGGTGCGGTACTTTCACTTGCACTTGGTGATCCACAGTTTTCACGGGTATCTGATGGTTATATGAGGAGTACGAGGAGATGTAGCTGGGGAAGGTGTTGAAAGCCGAAGTGAAGGGCACGCTATGATGAATGATACCTGGAACAGAAAAGATATCGTTTGGTAATATTTTCAGAGCATTTAGGTTTAATCTATTTTTATATGTAGAATTTTATAGTTATAAAATTTTAGAGTTACAATTAATTTCCTTTTCTAAGAGCATTTAATATTAAAAGAAGTTAAACTGCCATTAATTTTTTTCCTAACATTAAAAAATCAAATTTACATTTAAATTACAATTAAATAGTAATAAACAAAATAATTAGAAATAAACCGAATAATGAAATTACCACATAAATTATTAATTAAATACATTTGCGTATATTTATCTATTTTTTTTTAAATAATTTACTTTTATTTTTTAAATTGTGCACCGACATTTCACGCTGTATGAGGCGGAGTTTAGAGAATCGAATTTAAAGAAATACACATCTAGATTTCTTTTTAATCAAGCGTAAAGTGAACAAATGTCTTGAGATGAAGAAACTGTCTCCAATTACATAACATAATAAATATTCATATGCGCCGAGCATACATTTGCATTCTTTGATGAAAGGCGAGCAAATCACTTAAGATCAGTGACAAGTGACAAGTGTTTTCATATGTCATCCCGGCCCATTAGTCAAGGATTAGAATATTTCTACGTGACTCCTGTGCGACCCGGCCTCGAACGGTAAGAGTTTCAACCGCCACGAAAAACTCCCGAATATATCTTACGTAACTCGACGTAAACGGTATTCACGCCTGTTTTTACAAGTCTAATAATGTAGATTTAGGAGAGAAGCCGTAAATTTTTTCGACGGGCGCGCCACGACCGAAGGTGGTCGTAAATTCTCGGTAGATCGACTGCTCACCTTGGGTCTCGGTGGGCAGATGAGCCGCCGTCACCTTCAGCTGCGGAAGAGAGACGCTCTGCGGAATGGCAGTTTCCACGTGCTTGTGAACGACCGCTGGCTGCACGTGGACGTCATGGATCTCGGGAATGGTCTTCACTTGCACGGTGTCTAATTTCGGCTGTTCCTGAATGGTCGTCTGTGGAGATTTCGATATTTGCGCGCGCGTTAAAAAAATGACATGACAAAAGTATAGAATACTAACGATAAATATATTAATAATGAGCGCAATGAGAGCATTAGTGCAAATTCTGTTACAATGCCAAAAGGCCAGAGTCTAGTATTGGATTAAATATTCGAGATTAGAACACGAACGAATAAGCAAGATAGAAATAAATAAACGATAGATGCACAGTTAATAGGTCAAATTTTTAATTATATCGGTTATCGCACCTTCACCACGGGAGTTCCATACGAAGTTTGTGGGATATTAACGAGTTCCTCGTGCTGAAAGTAGAAAGTAGCGGTCCATAAAGACAACATTAATAAATATTTTGAATTTAGTAATATTGCGAATAATAATTATAATTATTCCATTTTTATCGATAATACTTTATGCTTTTCTATTTGCTATTATCCTAATCGATCAACTTTAAGCTATTTAAAATAACACTGTCGTTGAAGTAATGGCCTACCTTAACGTCATAAGAAGTAATTGGCGCTTGGACAGACGGTGCTTGAGAGTCAGTGTTCAAGTCGACCGTAGTCTTTAATCAATATAAGATAAGAAAATAATTAAATTTCCAATTAAAATGAATTCTAGCTAAATTATAATATTAATCAATATTACCTATTCCTTGCAAAGCATAACAAAATAAGTGTAAATGACTTTATTATCTCCTTAAATAACGAGAACATTAATATCCTTTATTTTATTTTATATTGTTCCCAATTTTTAAAAACGCGGAAAAAGATTTTATCAAATTTAACAGTCACTCGTTTGTTGGCCCCATCGTTTATAACATCTCTCGACTGTCAAAACACATTATATTCTCTCACGAATAATCGATTACACTTTAACAAGCAGCCCAGTAAACAAGATAAATCACCGAGACATACTGATCATTTTGAAAGGTATTAATTGAAAGAGAAAAAAATGCAGTAGTCTGCAAGTTAATTTATGAATTTGTGAGAAGTTACGTGATTGGAGAAATGAGATGTGATTGATGTACGTACCTTGATAAGGGCGGACTGTTTGTCGTCAATGATGGATCCAATGAAGTTGTTGTTAAGAATCTGCGAGATAGAAAAAAAAATGTTACTTAATGCAATGATTCATTAAATAATAAATTTCACATACATACATACCTTTACTAATAAATATTAAGTAATAGTTTTACTGTGAGAAATAAATAATTTTATAACTTCTGCTCTTCTATTAGAATCGTAAGAATTTAAGATAAATGCAACGCGACTGAACGATCTTGGCAAACTTTTTGGTCACCTGAGTGGTATCGGGTATTCCGTAGGAGGTGGATGGCACGAGGACGGAGGCGGGAGTTTTGTCAATATCACTGGACGCGAAGAGATCAGTTCCCAAAGGTTTGCCGGGTATGTGGCTGGGCAGTCCATAGGATGATTGGGGTTGTACCTGGAATGAGTTGTCCTCTGTGTTGTCTGGAACCAAGTAAGAACCTACGTAGCCGCCGGCGGCTTTCGAGATCTGTACCTCATTCTCGTGCTCGTGATGATTCTGCTCTTGATGGTGCTCCGTTACGTAGCGTGGATCGCCCGGCAGAATGTCCCTCTTCTGCTTATCGGCCGGCGCTGCTAGAGCTGCCGCGAAGCAGATCTGAAAATATAACATTTGGCATGTAGCATTCCTAGAAAAAAGGAATGAGAAAAAATTATAGAATTATTGGAAAATACAGAGAATATTTTATTGCATATATTATCTTGTATTATTTGATTTATATTATTCTCGCTGACAAGCTGAATTGAATTCTCCTCGTTACGCAATTTTAAATCGACCTCGGCGATTAAATTTAAATATTACGAAACTGATACGGGATTCATGCATTTTAATGAACGACTGAATGCAAAAATATCCGAATTTAGATTTCTACGTGTTGTCGACGACATTTATCCCCGCGATTAAATACAACTTTTTCTACGTCTTGAAAGATCACGAAATGCAAACGTGATATTAATAATTGATAACAATAGTTGTTTTTTCGTGGTAAAAACTGATTATAATTTAGTGTACATAATAAATTTCTTTTTTAAACTATTTTTTATTTAAAAAAAATTATGTATTTCCTAAGATATTTATTTCTTAAAATGAATTTAAAATTACTAAGAATATATAAATTTAATATTACTAAAAAGAAATTTTCTACCAAGTAATTATTATTATATTAAATTATGATTTTTAATTAATTAATTAAATTTATTTGATATTAGTCATTATCAAAGTTGAACATTTAAACACTTTCTTATATTTAAAAAGCTTCTATTTTATTCAAAAACATTTATAATTAAATAATAAATGATTTTATCTATATTTCAAATGCTTAGAATTAAAATAATTAATTAGAAATATGTATGCAATACTTCCGTACAAAGCAACTTTATCCTTTATCCTTTAAATTACATTTTTTATAATATCTGCATTAAACTGATTTACTAGGGTTTATATAATCTTAATTTATAAAAATTGAGATTATATAAAACAGATTTCTCTTAAACTTTTTAATGAAATTTTGCAGAGGGAAGAAAGAAACTTGAGTTATAACTTGAAACTAGTTAAGAAGCCGCGAAGTCGTAAAGTCACTTCGTGAAACTAGACATCTGCGATCGTAATTTTGGGGATGAGGAGAGAGACGGAAGTGAGGCGGTTTCTTACCAGAAACTTGAACAGGAGGAGCTTCATGTTAGCCGTGTGATGTCAGGGCGATGAGTTGAGCATCTGCTCGGAGACATTTCGATCTTTTATACTCCGGAGTCTTCCTCCCCCCAAGACGATCTTCCTTCGCGCGTGTCGCAATCCGGTGGCATTGGCAGAACTAGATTTTTTAATTTACTCCACCGACCTCTCTCGCACTCGCTCGCTCATTCTTTCAGTACTGCTCCCCGAAATCTCTGGAATAGGAGACTTAACGTGCGGACGTCGTTCTCGCCGCCGCGCCGTCCATTGTCCAGCCGGACATTCCTTAGAGAAAAACGCTCATCCTTCAACGAGCATTCGAGTTAGAGACAACTTCATAAAAATGATCACGATGATTTATGCAAATGGATTTGTACGTCAGTTCCACACGCCTCGCGGATTTTTACAGGTCCGTTGGCCTTTCGCCTTCTTCCTGTTTTCTTTTCTTCTTTTCCATTTTTTTTTCTCTTTCCCTCGAGATACGGCTCAAATCGCACTCGTACATCTCCAAACACTCGACATTATCATCGGGAGAAACATGAAGGCTTTTAAAGGATAAAGAGCGAATGATCGGCGAATTTTCGTAAGGTTTAATGGACCGCATTGCATCTCGATCAAACTGATTTCTGCCTCGATCCTTTGATTGTCGCACTGATGTGTTTTCCTTGTCGACTGGTTGAATGTTGTACTCTCTTAACAGTATTTTGATATATTGGGTAGCTTATGTGTGACTAAGTGATGATTAGCCTACTTCGTTAGAAAGTATTGACGAATCGACGTAATTAATCATTTGTTAAATAATCAGCTTCCATGTTATTCTTACGCAAGCGTATTGAAAATTTTATTTTATCTGTATTTAAAAAATAATAATAATAATGCTGTAAAAAAGAGAAAAATAAAACGAAATAAAATATTTATAATACAGAATATTCCAATTAAAAAAAATATTTTTATCTAATTTTATAATTACTTTACAAATATCTACTTTTTGATTCGGTTTTATTTTTGTATGTAAAACGTAATAAATTAAGAATGTGAGGAAAAAATAAATTATTTAAATAAACATTAAAAAAATGTATCCGGAATCACATTATGCTTATGTATTAACTATAAAACACAGTTCCTTGATCATTTTACTGTAGATGCCTTGACATTTTCGTTAAGGAATTGCCAATCGATCAAGAATCTATTATGAAAAGCTTTTCTGACTTTGGGACATACCATATGAATTATGGTATCATAAAGTTTGCTATATAATCAACGACTGACCAACTTTACTGATTAAATAATTATAAGAATATACATAACTTTCATGTTTACTAATGTAATGTATTCTAAACCAGACTGATTATAAAACAGAGTCTTTTAAATACGTAATAATAATTATTGATAATTATAAAAAAATTTACCAAGCGCAAAAAAGGATTCAAAAATGCGGAATGTGTAATGAATTCTCTTAACGGCACTCTGTTTTACAAAGAAACCTGAAACTAAACTTGCGTTTATCAAAATGTCGCTGGAACAAGGCCGTTGCTTATAAATTAGCTATCTGATGATGGTGACTTTTAAAATTTCTTTTGCGATATGAACTAAGTTACAAATCTTACATAAATTAGTTATGCAAGTACATAAAAACTGCATCTGATACAATTTTACATCTAAACATTTGTACTTTGAAATTTTATATTTTAATCACATCCTCTATTATAAATGTGCTGCAATTTGCATATTTATTGTTAGTTAATTTGTAAGAATGAATAGAAACACAAATTTGTAATAAGTTCTTTGTCATAATAATCTCTGGTATTTTTTTCAGAGTTACTTTATTTTCTATTTTTTAAAGGAAAAGACTCACTTTTTAAAAAGATTAATGTCGTGCAAAGACATAAAATTATAGAAAATGGTTTTTTAATTAAGAAATTAATAATTAAAAAATTAAAAAAGGAGAAGTTTTAATATTATTTATCACTGTTCAAATGTTTCTTTTCGCTTCTCTTTCATGTAATGCGAATTAATTTACTGCGAATGAAAGCAAACGTGAGAGAGGAACTTGATATAAAGAGGATTAGCTGGAGTATATCCGAGGGATGTGGGTTCAAAGAATGTCAAGCAAAAATCGATGCACTCAGCTTCCGGATGCACTTTGCATAAACTGGCTCGAGAGCTAATTGACACGCTCGGGTGGTCCCTTTCCCGAGTGAAAACGAGATGATAAGATGATAAAGGCATTAAAATTTGCGGCGGTCGGCATGACGCCTTGATCTTCTCCCTCGAAGATGATCGAGGAAGATCATCTTCGATCTCTCTTGACTCGAGAATGAAAGTAAGTGGTACACATGTATAAAGTCCATTTTACACAATCTAAAACTCGAAATTGAAACATTTATTTCTAATATATCTTATTTGGACAATTTTTTAAATGTGAAAATTGTATGCATGAAATACATTATAAATACATTATATATAAACATAATATCTAAAATTTTAAATAATATTTAATATTACTAATTCCCTATTTGACAAAAGTAAGAAATTATAAGAAATAATATACTATAATTATTAAATTCTCTATTAAATTGTAATTAAAAGAATTGTAATAAAGAAATTTAACTGTAATTATTAAATTTTGTAAAAAAAATGGATCGGGTGAATCGTCTTTAATTAAAAACTACAGAAATAAAGAAGAACCTTATCGGAAAGATCGCTGCAGCTGAGATGTACCCCTGAGGCAAAAATTCGACACGCATTAATCAATTGACCATCGCCGCGAGATTGGGCGTTTCTATAACGGATAATTGCATTAATTCAAGGTTTTCTTTTCTCAATTCTTTCTCACGCTAAGGACAGTTCTGACTATAAATCGGATAGCATAATCAATATTGCTCAACTCATCAAGCTTACCTATCAATACAACAAGTTAGCCTTCTTTATATGCACATCCTTCCGCTATTTCGTTATACTACGTATATTTCACTAAAAAGAGAACAAGACCACGTGTAACCGTGCATTTTAAAGTATCATTGACATATAACTTTAACATCTCCAACTGGATCTTCAACTGGTGATAAAAATATTTATAGATAAGAAAATGGCAAAGAGAGTTATTTATAATATAATTTACGGAAAAAAACTAATGTAGAAGTATAAGAAACTGAGGCGGCAATACATAAAAACCGACATATTTTCGTAATACGTGCATACATAAGTTAATTCTATTCGGCCTCTTCGCACATAGGCGAGGACAGGTATTCCTGTAGAATCGATCGGCCGAGTTACATCTTTTACGACTGAAGCGACAAAGTTAACCGTGCAACCTTGGCGGCCAGCTCATCTTGGCCAAAACTTGTGATATTTTGATCGTATCCGGTCAGACTCGTTCACTAAAAAAGGAAAAGAAGATGGAAAAAAATATTATGGTAGTTTCGTATTCCTAACTAATTAATCTCAGCTCTTCGGGAAGAGTTGCACAATTGAAGAATTTAGACTTTTTCGGACCGTCTTGATTTGATATTTTAAAAAAGGTGGCCAATGTCATATCCACAGATTTAAGAAGTGCTTTCGTAAGAACAGTGTAAAGAATATTTATGAAGTAAGTAACTTTAATAAATTAATAATTATTAATTATCTAATATAAGAACATAATAATAAATAAGCTATATACCATATATATATATAAGTATATAATTAATATATAATTAAGTAATATATAAAGTATATAATTAATAATAATAAAGTAAATATATAAAGTATATAATTAATAATAATAAAGTAAATAAAATTACACATAAATAAAATTAGTAACAAACTTTAAAAGTACTTTCAAATAGAATTACTTTTTCTCATGTCACTTATTTTTGCATCAAAATAAAAAATATATGTATAAATAAATTATGCTATTAAATCAGTGTGGTGTATATTTCAATGTAAACTGTTACACAATCTGTTACATCGGGTCGAGATGTCACACAGACGTGTGAAAGTGTTAAGAAGGATATGTAAATCAAGAAATCGCAATCAGACCTGCGCGGTCAAACCGGCATAATGCATAATGAGGGTCAAAAAAAAGAAAACTAGATTGTGTAATGCGGGCACTTAACGGACAACGGGATTTATCGTAAAGACGACGTAAAGGCGATTATTCTTTAAAAGGCGACGTAAAACATGATGTAAAAGCGCGTTACAGAAACTGTCGCTGGCTCTCTATGAATGAAATAAAAGATCCAAACTTTCACTCTATTTATTTTTTGAAGGTGCTTTTGCCATTCACATTGGCGTCTTCTAAGCCTGTTAATTAACACGAATAATATAATGTATATTCGTGAAATATACTGCCGACGAGAATTAATGAAATTCTGAGCATCATGACTTTCGTCATTTATTTGTACTTTTTGTCAAGAGCTTGATTGATTATTGGAAAGGAAGAACAATTAAAAGAATAATTGCTTTTGAATGTATAATTAGTTAATCTCTCTCAGTCCTACTACTCTTGTCAGAGCATGGTCCTCTCCTTGTATTTCTGCGATGTGCGCTATTTTATGCAGATATACGGGACCTTCAGTTTAACGCCGTTCCGAACAGCGGCAATTTTTTAAGAAGAGGTTCTCTTGGCAAAGATACTCTCGATGGTTTGCCGTTGCCTTCATGCTCTATGGAAATAAGCGAGAGAAATTCCAATAAATAATAATTTGTGAAAATGACAGACTAGTAAGAGAGTCAGATTGCGTTTCACTGTGCATAATTTTATTAATAATTTGCTTTGAAAATCGATTAGAGGTTTACTTATTTTCTCTTTTTATTTATCGAATTTATTTATTTGTTAAAATCAAGGAATAGTAATTATAATTCTAAATTTTATTTAACAGTACTCAAGCATAAAACTTCCTTCTTAATAAATTTAATAAACGTTAGACATTAAGTAGAGACATTAAGTAGAAGATACCATATTCTTCATTCATTATTCTTATGTTGCAGGTTTTTACAAATAAAACAATAAAAATTTAACATAAGAGTTTTATTTTAAAAACTGTAAGACAATTTTTATATGGAACAAATATAATTAATATGAAAGAAGAAAGAATAACTACAACGTATATGATTTTGTATAAATTAACTTGCTTTAATTATTCTTACAAAATGCGTCTTAGAATTCACTGTAATAAATTCGTTTGATTAAAATATTTGATTAACATATATATTTATATATTACTAATTAATTAAGATCAATTTAGTAAGATTATGGTGCCATCTATGCAGATAATATCAAATAGTTAATTCCGCCTGTATATACGTTTCTCGTAGTACGCTGATGCGTTAATATTGCGTGTTATCAGGAGAATCTGCTACATGAGAACTAGACTTATATTGCAATTTATTAGTAAATTTGAGATAATTTCTTAATAGAACATTTAGTTCTATACAAATTAATAAGAAAATTGTTTAATAATTTTTTGTTCTATAATTTTTAATTCTAATTTTTTATAAATAACATTTAAATTTAAATTAATTATCTATTAATTTATTTTATAATTGTATATAATAATAGCGATATATAATATCATTTATTTAAAAAAAAAATTGGGGAAAATATATTTATTTCATAATAATTTAGCTTTAAAATTTTCTTAATAAATTCTTTTACTGTTTCACTTTAAGAAAAATTTTTGATTCTGTTATCTTTGTAAAAATTGTCAATTATATTAGATTAACATAATAATTAATTTACTTTAAGACTATGCTGATCTCAACATGTGCGATGTACGATATATGCTATTTACGAACCAGTAAACAGGAAACTATTTCGATAAGCAGACTAGGTACTAGTCTGCTTAACTTTCCGTACAAGTTGCTCCTTTCCGATATAAAAGTAGAGTTTGTGATTATATGGTAAGAATATTAATTAAACGTGAGAATGTGTGTGTGTGTGTGTGTGTTAAAACATATAAATGTATATCATATCAACTCTCGAATTAAAATGCATTTGCACCATTATAAGCGCCTTGAATGACACAAGTATACATTTATATTAACTTAATATAGCGTCAATCGCTACATTAGTTTTCGAAACATAGTTTCAAGGAACTTGTAGCTTTCGCTAAATGTTTGCACAATATTTAAAAATTTCTATTTGTGTGAAAGTTATCATTACTGTTGAGATAAACTGCAATTAGATTCATTCTCTATATATTATCTCTCTGTGCGTAACAATCTAATTATATATATACATAAAAAATAATTGTGTAATTTAAAAAAATTTAATTTATTTATCTATATTTTTAATGTCTTTACTTAAAATTTTAAATGCAAGATATTTAAAAAAATATGAAAGGTTATTTACAAAAATTACAGAGATGATTATTTTTTTCCTTAATAGATGCTGTACATTTCTTCTTTTTTAAAACTCTAATTAACATAATTGCAAAATGAGAAGTATTCATTATTCCTTTATGATAATATAACATCTTATTAATAATTGAAATATTTTATTGATTGCATATAAAAGTATTTCTTTTCTATGCACTTTTGAATGTTCCAGCATAATTTTTTGGGTTATCAATAGTTCTTTATTATTGCTGAACAATGAATCACTTCCTAGAGATCTCAAGTATAAATGTATATCCTGCCTAAGCATAACTCAATAGCAGTAACGGCGTTCATATACATTTTATGCCTTTCTCTGGCTTTGCTGAAAAAGTAACTTACGCAAAAATATTGTTCTTTTATCTAAATCTTTGTTCTGCAGCATGTTCGAATTATAAGTCAAGTGAAGGTAGGAAGTCATACCTTTTCCTTACCTTTCCCGTTCACTTCCGCGTCTCCGTCTGTGAACTTAAATTTCAATCGTATTATATGAATCACGTTCTAATTTAATTCTATAATCTATATGATTGTGATCGATTTTTGCGATTCTATGTAAATAAAATAAAATAAAATAAAGTAATTAAAAGTAAATAAGTACCTTGTAACAATTTTTAATAATTTAATTAATAGAAAATAATTTAAATATTAATTAAATAATTTAATTAATGGGGAAACCATTTTTTATGCTAACTTATATGTTAATATTACACGTGTTTTTATTAATTTTCGAAAAAACGATTTATAACTGGAAAAAGTATAAAAAGCTAATTTTTGAATTTTTTGTTACACACATTGTGTTTGAATAACTATAGAATTGATAATGAAATTTTATTGTAGTGAAATAATACTATATAGATTTGTACGATGGAGCGAAGTTTTAGGATGTGAGAAAGACAATAACCGGTTTGATACAACAGTAAAACTATTTGCACGATCTTCTCTTTCTCCTCTCACTTTCAATGAAAGTCGGCAAATTCATTCACCGCTACTATTTGTAATAACGGCTCACCGATATACATATTGGTAATAAATGTATATTTTTTTAATAATTGCAATTTATTTTGCATAAATAGATATGTGGCTGTGTTTATCAGATTGCTCCCGTAATCTGGAAATAACCAATTATTTGTAGCTAACAAGTTCAGATCTTGAATTGTAGAGATATTATGCTCATTCGTTTTTCACAATAATCATCAGTTAATTTGATTTGATCTAAATTGACTTATCTTTAGCTTATTATCTGACTTGACCGCATTTTGCGATTTTAGCGACTTCATGATTATTTAGATAGTGGTTTCGGTTTCGTGATTCTCTTCTTTCTTTGTTGCTTTTATTCCCTCAATGTAGACATTTGTAATATAATGTTCTGTAGTATAAATAAGTGTTTACACGAGCGCGTAAATGATTTACAATCATTGGAGAAAGCGTGTCCACTTCTCTATACTTAATAAATATAAAATTAGCAAATACAATAAAATGATTTTCAAACTATAATAGATTAAATACTTTAAGTCATTATTAACAAAAATATATTATACTAAATAACGGTTACTGATAAATTATCGATAAGAATAATCATAAATAAACCGAAAGAATAAATCAGAAATAAACTATTAAAATTATTGTACTAATAACTAATAATTTGATACAAATATTAGTTTTCCTATTTTTATCTTTGCGAGATTTTAGATATTACGTTACATGGAATTAAAAAAATAAAATATATTAACATAAACATAATGGAGTAAGAAAAATTGAAAAAAGTATTAAAATACATTAAGGAAATATTCTTTTCATAAATTGTTAGAAAATTATTTTGAAGCAGTTTTTCCTTCCATAGACTGTCAGAAATAAAATAAATATTAGTCGTGACTGATTGATAATGAACTTGAGTGTTTTCTTACGAAACAAATGCACTCTTATGATATTCACTTATGTCCAAGTGGAAACCGATGAACCAGGTCGCAGGCCCTCTTACTTTGTGAGCCCCCGCTGCCTTTCGGTGATAGTCCTTTCACTCTCGTTTGCATTATACTCGCTTCGCTTTTGAGAAGACATTGATCGCACGTTCTCCGCATTAGTGTATAACCGGAAATTGAAACTCGAGTTGTACGTCAAAATTATCATTACTTCCTATGCAAGTGTTTTTTGTCTTTCATATGATTATCTAATAAGAAATTTCAAATCTTTTTTTTTGTTTATAATACATTAACTTTACAAAATAATTTTTTTGTCTATAATACATAAAATAAATATATATATTTTTGTATATTATACATATATATAATAAATTTACAGTAATTAAATTTTTTTAAAAATAAATATAAAAAATATACATTTTATACTAAAAAGATTGATGTTTGATTATTTATGTATCACATATTGTTATGATTTATTAAGATCATATTTTTATTTATTAATGCATTTTTTAAGATACATATCGTTAAACTTTTCATTGGCGAGAGTGTGCCTCTTCGTGATCATTGATCTTCGTGACGCTCGATCTTTCCGTGCATGGTAAGACCTCTTACCTTTTATTTCCGTCGCGCCCATTGCTCGGTTGGATCGTTGAACTTATTCGCGCGAATGGCCTAATCGCAAAAAACGGAAAAGAGGAGACGAGATCGACGGCGAAAGAGATCGGCCAGTCGGAAAGAGAGTGAGTGAGTGTTTTCTTCGTGGTGAACCGATCTATGGTGAAGGTCCCCGTATATAAGCCACCGTATAGACGTATAATAGTCAGTGCGGAAACACCATCGGATCTCGATCCAGAACCACGAGATGACAATCATGTTGCAATTCGTAAGTTTCCATCGTGATCGGAAATTTCAAGAGCATGGAAATTTTGAGAATCGTCATACTTCTTCATTTCTTCCGGATCACATGGCTTTCGGATCATCGGAAATAGCGGCTTTGTGATATTTGTGTGCTCGACAGTGATTTTGATAGATCCTTCTGAGAATTAAAAATGCGCGAAATTACAAATGACATCGAGATTTTTCGTCGAAAATGAAATCGCTTGAATATATGCCTGCATTGAAATTTAGAAGCATGGATAATCGTGAAATACAAATTGTGATTGAAATTTGAACACTGAAACATCTATTTTATTATTACTGCATCTTATTGAACTCTTTATGATTATAATCTAATAATTACATTTTAACATTTTAAAAGTAAATGAAAGTTTGATTTAGAGTTGTAGAAACAAATTAAAAGTATATAAAAATTACTATTTTTACATTACAGAATATTATTCATTTTTTTTCTAATATTTATTTAAAGAAATTGTAATTATTAATTGTTTAACAATTTGTTTCACAAATTTTGATTTAAGATTTACCTTGATTGCATTAAGATCTACGCAATTGCTTTTGTCGCAATTATCGTGGTTTTATGGATATGTTCAATTGCTGATTATCTGTCAGGTCAGTTACGCTTTCATGACGATGTTACACCTTTGCAGTTTTTACTCACGCTGGTGGCAATGACAGTCATGGCATGGCCCTCGTTCTTGGTACACGAAGGTCATGGTCTTGGAGCAGATGAGCCCAAGCTCATCTCGCAATCAGTACATTTGCACGAGGTGCCAACCAAGATAATCAAGGTCACCAAGACAGTAGCTATCAAGGTCCCTGTGCCGTATCCCGTTAAGGTAAGCAATTTTCCAGGAAAATTAAGAGCTAATTTACAATTTAAATTGATTAATTCGAAATTTTTATCTTATTATTTTTCAAAATTAAACATCCAAGATCCAAAATAAACGCAAAAATTATGACATTAGATTTGTAAAATTAGTGTCCGAAAATAAAAGAGCAACAGAAAGTATAACAAAACACTTTTTCAATAAATTTATGCATTTATGGAAAATGTCCAAAAATCTCCAAAAATGTAATTAAAAATTTCATTAAGGAAATCCTCTGTTCAGAAATTTTCTCTTAAGAATTCTAAAAATTCAAATATTTATATTAATGTTACATATATAGTATGTATTGTAGATGCAGTTATATGTATACTTTTTCACATTTTAATTTTAATATTGAAATAATTTATATAGATTACATGTAATAATTGTAATAATAATAGAAAAATAAAAATAAAGAGAATAATGATTTCAATAGCAAAGTATATAAAACAAACATCGCAGATTTCTAATTTTTCCTTATACAGCGCGCTGTGCAAATGTGGCTGACCAGTTACAGTTTTTTCCATTTCTCAGATACCACATCATATCCCATTTCCAGTGCCAGTGAAACATCCCGTAGCGATTCGAGTACCGCAGATAGTGAAAGTGCCGCAGCACGTGCCAGTTCCTATAGAGAAGCCAGTACCGGTGGAACTGCATCAGCAGGTATTTATTACCAATTTAAAAAGATCTTATAAGCTAATATTATTCTATAATCTATAAGAAACATCAATAAAATTTTTCTACACAGAATAAAAAAATACATTATATTTCTTTATTGAAATCGTGACATAAGAAAACCTCGAAAAACACATAACGTTGTCCAGAGAAGTCATCCTATAACTTGATAATTTTTCAATTTTTATTTTTTATTTTTTTATTACATATTTGTATTAATTATACAGGTGTATATATTCATATTTTTAATATTTTATATTTACGTTATGTATCTACAAGTATTGATTTTGGACTTTTACGTAACATAAAAGGTAGAAGAAATTTATAATGATTGTTTTATATTACAATTTTAATAAACAATAATAATTTTTGTATACTTATTTAATTAATTAAAAAGGACTGATCTCTAGAGCTGTAAATAAATGTTTTTGATTTAATTTAATTCAGGTGCCGTTCATAATATCTAAACCGGTGCCTGTGCCGCATCCGATCCCCGTACCGCATCCGATTACTTTGACCAAGCCGGTCTTCATCCCGGTGCCGAAGACGATCCCGATTCCACACTCGAGTCACGACGGAGGTGGCATTTCCGCTGAAGCTGGAGGCGGAGACGAAGCTGGTGATCATGCCAGCCACGAGACGTTCAACTACAGCACCTATATCTCTCAAGGACACGAATCCTACGACCAGCAGAGCAGCGACCAGCAGGCCCAGTTCCAGCCATCCCAGCCGGACTACTCGGCGGATCATTAGCTTTCGAAATGCGACAGGACGACTGATTATGGCGGTGTGCGAGGTCTGCGCGGCTTGAAAGGAAAAGTAAATCATTGGCGTATGATATACGCGAGCCGATCACTTTGAAAGCGGTTTAAGCGAAATCTTAAAGGGTTCCGATAAGTAAAATATGGGTACTAAATGTACGATACCCTTTCTTGGAAACTTGACTCATTCCACTTTCAAAGGTAACCCGATAACCCGATGCATAAATATAAAGTGGTGTTTCCCAAATTTTAACTACGTACCACTTTTGAAGTATTAGATTTGCAGAAGGATAAAGAAGTGAATAGGAAATTAATTTTATGCTCATTCAAAATGCATAGGAAATAATATTTGTATAATATTGATATTGATTAGAAAGATTTAGAATTTTTATTTTCTATACTCATATTATTTGGAAAATATCAGACACATATTTGTGTGGGATGCAATTCGTTAATCGTTCCTGATGAAGAAACAACGCTTTCTCCCACAGTAGCGGTAATTATCAGCAAAGTGTTTCTGTAACATAGAGAAAGAGAAAGATATATCTCAAATGTAGAACGACTTTTGCGATTAAATAATCGATTTTTATCAAACAATTTAATGGTTGGATGTAGTAATAGAGACAGAAGTTGTAAAGGGCATAACATTTATAAATATTCACAAATTTTCCAATCTCTCTGAATTAGATCTCATCTTTGAAATAATGTGAAAAGAAACGAACGAATAGAACGCACAATAAGGATTTTTTTCTTTGATATCTATTATTATTTCTGTCAACACGACTATGAAATTGAAACACTTTCAATCGTTGATTTGTTGATTTCTGAAGAATTGAGGTAGTATTCTTGTACATAGACAAGTAGATTCTTCGGAAAATGTTGAGTTTTTGTTTTTGCTGTTATAGTTGATTTTCGCTTGTTATGTGAGATTGTTAATGCTAGTATTATTTTTTTATAATAAAACATTTATACACACGTAACTAGAACAGTGTCTTCCTCGTTCCTTGTCAAATCTGTTATCTTTCGCAAAAACGCCCTGCGTATATATATATAGTCATAAATATCAGGTTGCGACATTTTTTATTGGGCAGGTGTGCAAGTGGCGTTACGACTCGGACTTGCCCAACATATCGCTTACGATATGTGCGTATACATCGCGTACGTTTCGTGTATGGCGTGCGCTCTGCATGCAAATTCCATTAATCGCGTGTTTAACGTGTCCTCGTTCTCCATTTAATGGACATTTCACCGCCGCCGCATTCGTGTAATCATTTCTCATAATACGGCCTTAAATTTCCCTTTCGCGCCCGTGGAATATACAATGTCGAGCTTTTGTTCTGTAACTTTCTTATAATTGGTAAGAGATTGCCAATGTAATCAGAAACTTAAATTGTTCACCAGAAAGGCGTTACCAGTTATTTATCTCTGGTTAATTTTCTCGACATGTCGATTATCTTACATAAATCTATACGTCGCGTACTCAATACTAAGTAAGCAAGAGTTTACATGTAATCATAAATTAAACAGTATATAAAATGTGTAAAATCTATAAGTATATATAATAATAAATTATAAAGAAAAAAAGATCTTTTTTTTTCTTGCTTACATTTTTCTGTGATATCTTTGTTTATATTATATAGCATAAAACGACAAATATTTTCCGCAATTTTTATTAAAAAGAGAATATTATGATAAACAGAGTTAGAGGGAGTAAGATGGAGTAAAGATCACACTCTCTTCATAGGAAAAGATTTATTTCAATGATGAACAATCAGCATAATGAAGTTATAAGTAGAAACATAGACCTAAGTAGTCACACTTGATGATCGCGAGCACCACTGGATTCCCTTTCGCCGCGGAAATGTTTTTGCTTTTTTCAAAGTTAGAGGACGCTCTTCTTTTCCAGACACTCGTTCTCTCTCCTTATCTCCCTGTCATAAAAAAAAATGTCCAAAAGAATCCCACCAGATTGAAAGACCCGCCAGATTGTCCCTCAATTTCCGAAACGTGAGGTATTCACTTTAATCACACTTGTCGTCGACGAGGAAGAATATGTGTATTAACGTACATTAATACATATATCTTTCTTTGGAAGCGCTTATTTCCTGAAGAAGGTGATCACTGAAAGAGTTCTTTGAAAGATCCACGCGGATCCGAGTGATGCCTCGCGCTGATGACGAAGAGCGTCGCCCTCGGGGTTGCCGTTTTACCAGGAGGAGTATCCATAGGGGTAACCGCTGTAACCACCGCTGTATCCACCGCTGTATCCACCGCTGTATCCGCTGTAGCCACCGTAGTATCCAAGACCGGATTGCAGTTTCGCGTAGACGATCGGCTGCTCGACGGGCACCGGCACGTGTTTGACGACGGGGACGGCGTAGGGCTGGGGCACCTTGACGGCGTACGGGGCGGGAACTGGGACCTTGACGGCGTACGGGGCGGGTACGGGCACGGGGCGGTCTACCGGGACGGGAACATGCTTGGTGACCTCGACTGGGTAGGGTTTGGGCACTTGGACGGGGTACGGGCGGTCGACGGGCACGGCGTATGGCACCTGAAAAAAGAAGGATCGGATACCTTTGATCATCGGCAAGATTTGCGAATAAATTTATTTTCCAGTTCCCATATTTGCATTAAGACAGTATTGTATTGGGAAACAAAAAGTGAACAAAGAATTAAGAAATATACATTATAATACGAAGCTCGACAGTTTTTTGTACAGCTAGATTATTAAAAAAAAACTTTCTACTCTAGTTAATTAGCAATTCAAACTATTTTTGTTTACTACTCTATCACCTGCTTTATTAGTCGATATAAGAGACTGTAAATTTCATTAGGAATGCAAATGTATACGATATAGTTTTAATTTGGTTTCTGTGGGAGATCTAGATCAAGGTGACTGATTCCTCAGACAACGCAAGACATCCCATGTAAGAAGCGAAGACCTCGCACTCCTAATCACGCTCCACTTGTTACAATATCTCTCTCTCTCGCTCTTTGTGCGATCGCCTTTAGCATAGAAATGTATACACGTTTCGAAAGTTTAAATTACCATATTTCATATACGGATCCTGTTGTATGTTATTTTAGAAACTAACCGTATGCACTTCTGTCAAGCAGAAATCTCTCGACAGATCTCTGTATGTAAACGAGATTCATGAAATTCGTAGAATTTGAATTTACGCCAAGGGTAGAATACATGCAGCAACATTAACTAAACATCTAATAATTTGTACATGTCGAATTAAAAATACTCCATTTATGTAGCATTCAAGAGATTAAAATAATCTTTATCTGTATGCCGTTAGAGAAGCCATAATCGTCTTTGATCAGTCTATTGGAAGACATGGACATAGTAAAAATTATTATTTCTTCAATGAATTATTTGCTAATTGTTTCACTTTTATCTAATTGCGTTTCCCGGGAAATTGATTCTCAGAAACATTGCGTTTTTTTTTCGCTCGTAAGTGGCGAGATGTGATATCGAAATACGAAGATGGAAGAAGAGCGGGTACTCTTCATCAAATCTTGCTAACAAGTTTTTCACGTGTTTACACGTGTAATCGCCAGTATTCTAACAAGGGGAATGGAAAATAATGTCAATACCTTAACCGGGACTGGGACGTGTTTCTCGACGGGTACGGCGACCGGTTGGGGTACGGGTACAGCGACTTCCTTCGTCAAGACGGTAGAAAGACCGTGGCTGATCGGAAGGGACGAGTACGCGCTCAATCCATTGAGACCATAGCCATAACCCAGTCCAGCATCAAGACCGTAGCCGTAGCCCAAGGCTCCGTAAAGACCCCGCTTATCCTTCTTCGTCTCCACCTTCTTTGTTTCATCGTTCTTCGTTTCCTCGGCGAAAGCGAGCGCCACCAGGGCAAAGAGGACCACCACCTGCAAATCAGAGGATCATATGCTTTGCATTCTAAAGAATTTGCAAAATTATATATTGATCGTGTAAATTTTTTTCAAATTTGATATAAAAGTCGAATGATTTGTAATCAAAAAGCATATTGAAATTATTTGCGCTAAAAATAAAAGTGTGTAAAAAGTAAAACAAAATTGAAAATAAGAACTTATATAATTGAATAATAATTAAAAAATTTGTTTATTATTTTTCTATGTGGTTCCTTACATTAATAAATAAATTTTAATTTTAAACTAATATGTTAACCAAAAATATATTAAATTGATTTAAATTAATAAATTAAAAATAACCGATCAACACTGTAAAATGTATTAAATTTATTCTTAATTAATTTGTTTAACTACATAAAATTTTTTAAATTTAATTTTATATCAACTGCAAAACTATCTATTTTCTACAACGAATGTACTGATGTATCTCAACAAATGTATCTCCTTTTAAAAAACACGGTTCACCCTCGTTGCAACGCACGATCGTCAAACTAATCTTTATGAAAGAACTCTCGTGTCCGATTATACCTTGGCGTTCATGATGCTGCACGAATTTCGGACTCGGTTCGTCGTGTTTGCGACTGATGAGTACGATGAAGATCCCCCTGCTTTTATACGATAAACCCTCAAGGAGAGGCGGCATGGAGAGCGAGGTGGTGGGCAACCGGGCCCGCCGCCGAAACGCGGTTAGGTGAAAAGAAACCGAAACCGGGTCCCGCGCGAGTAGGGGACCGCCGAAAAACTCGCACCCGCGCGACTCTTCTCGTCGCTCGTAAGCAAGACTTGCGCAAATGTACCACCTCGCACGCGTCGAAATTCATAGTTAAGTAAGTTAAGTCTCTTTTGTGCGGAAAACCGTGTGAAGAAACCTAATTTAACAAGTAGTTTGATATATTATAGACTTTCGTATTCCTATATATTTATATTCCGTAATCTTACTTATCTCTTACAAATTTTGTATGTAATTATATAAGAGAAAGAATTCTTGCCATTTGTTAATAAAATTTAGATTATAATTGTTATTACGCAACATTATAATTGCCCGAATTATAATAAAAAATTTATATATATATTCTCGGATAAATTCTCAATTAATACAATTCTTTTTATTATGTTACTTTTATTACAAATTTTATGTCGAATTAATTGTATTATAAATGGCATAAAGAAGGTTTTATACGACACGGTATGGCATATTAAGGTCCCGTGCCGATTCAATCTTTGTGAATCTTTGTTTTGCGATCGTGATCGCACCGGGTGTTCTCTCAATCATCTGGTTGTGCAATTGCGCGCTCGCCCGATTCCGTAATTGAAATCCTACGAGAATGAGAAATAAATGATGAGCTTAGCTCTCGATTAACTATGGGCAATAAATGTCTACAATGTTACCAGCAAAATTACGTTGTAAGTCGTGTGAATCAAATTAGTTCTACCAGTACAGGTGAAGTTTAAATTTGTAACAGAAATGAGCAGATACATAATAATGTCATAACTCTTTAGTTCTTTTTATATTTTATTTAATATATATTAAAATATTGTATTACATTAAAATGCTCTGTTCGTATATTTTAACACTTCGTATAATTTTGTACGTCTTGAATTTTATTATTATTTTATTATTGTCAATAAAGATTAGAAAATTTAAGTTTTTGTTTCTTATGATTTAGTGTACAAACTTTGTACACATTACATAATTATAATGTTATATCTTTAATTATGTGTATTTTTTTTGATAATTTTATTGCAAAATTACATCGCAGTATATTAACGATGAAAAACGTAAAAGATTGCAGCTTAAGAGATTTTAATGTGAATTACTTAATTACTTGAGAAAAATGACATAACAATATTGCGCGCATCGCACGATATTACATTTGGATGCCCTCCCATCCATAAATCATTGCGTCGTTTATTACCACGTAACGAGACCATGTCTCAGTTTCTTCTTGAAGGCGGCGAGAAAAAGCGACAGGCATAAGATGCGCATTTGAGAGATCAGATCCCATAAATTTCGAAGAGAAATGAGAAAATACTCGAGAAGAATCGATTCCACGGCTCTACAGTAAGTAAATAGAAAAAAAGTCAGCAAAAGAAGATTAATTACCGGTAAAGAAAATAATATGAAAATTAATATAGAAAATTAGTTTGGATTTAATTTTAATTTTACGAGTACGTTTCGTAATTTTTGTTACAAGAACTGTTAAATACTTCAAACATTTTAAATATTTTAAATATAGAATGCTATAAAAGTTAATCAATTACTGAAAAATATTTTTTATGTGTTCGCAGTAAAAATTCTACTATAGTATAGTTTCATTTAACATATATATATGATATTCTGATGTTATTTCACATCGTAAAATTGAACGGCTGTCGCCGCCTATTTCCTTTGTTCCATGCTTTTCGCGGGGTGTTTATGGAACTTATGGATCTTACGGAACCGGCTTGATTCTTCTTTCTCCAGGTTGAACCGTGCTATTACCGAAAGTGGTCCGACTTTTGGACAGCTTCGCGCAATTTTGCTGCTTGTTAATTGGCCCCACCTGCCCGGTCAGTTCCAGAAAACCTGAGGAGAGCGTGAACGTTAATATATTATTTCTCATAGAAGAGCGAATGCAGCTGTGTATACGTGTTGACGAAAATTATTGCGGCAACGGATCACTTATCCTCGTTACAGCACTTGACATCGTTACGTATGATTAATATTTATGATTAACTTAAATTGCGTGCTATTTCATGATGGATTATATTGCATCATCAGTATCATTTGTAACATAGTTGTTTACATCGTTTTAAAAAAGGATATAAAATATATTGATATAAAATATTGTTACAAAAATGCAGGAGTCTAAAAGTAAAATTGTTTATAAATGATATACAGAGATAAAGACTGCCTTTAAAATTATAGCGTAATGTTTTATAAAATAGTTCAATAAACAAAAATAAATTTAATTCTTATGAAATAATTGTTTTTAAAAATAAGAAAACATTTTGTATAAAATGCAATTATAAAATATTCTGATTTTTAATATTTTAATTCATATGTAACATCTGTGTCTTATAAGAAACATGATGAAACTTTTATGTTACCAAAAGAATTGAAAGATTTAATAAATATAATTATAGTTAAGATTTAATAAGCAACTACAATTTATCTCTTCACGAATTCTTTTTACATGGAGATTTTATATTAATCAGAAACTGTTGAGAAAAGTGTGTAAATTAAAATATATATTCGTGTATTAGATGACAGGTACAGAAAAAAAATATGCTAACGCTGTGCACATCCGGCACTAGGAAGAAAAAAATATATCGACCCTGGGACGCTGTCATTAAACTCCGTAAATTAGTTCGTGGATTCCCGGATGACGTCGAAATCGCGGTATGCGAGGTCACGCCAACAGAATGCATCTTTCGAATTCCTTTACAGCCGTGAAATCAATGAGACAACGAGCGAAAATGGATTTATGCAGATTCTTTGATTATATGTATATATATCGTGGGCGACGTGAATGACAAACGATCCAACGATTTTGGGTTTTTCGGCGAATTAATCTTCAGCGAGTTAAAAGCTATGTATAAATAGCAAACTGTTCTTCTCATTTTATTTAATTTCTCGTTATAGATAAATAATTTAACAAAATTCCGATCCGAAGGCTAACTAGTTTTGAAAAAATCAAATATTTAAGTTAATTTAAATAAATATTTGTAAAACATAAATATAATTATAAATTATTCGATAAATCTACAGATAAAAAAGAAAAAAAGCGGATAATTTGAATATTATTAAGTACAAGAAATAAACAGAAGAATATGTATAAGTCAAAAATTTTTATAAAAAGATACTAAAATATTTTACTTACACATTTTATAAAATACTTTTTTATATTAATGTAAGAAATTACAAATTTTTTATTAATTAAAATAAAAGTTACATAAATAAAACATTAATCTTATTTTTATCGCTACACATAACTATCCTTGAAAGGTAATATATCTAATTAACGAGATATCAAACAGAATTGATTTGTAGTTGAATCAACATTTTTTTCTGTAATTTTCATCGTAACGTGAATTTCTGAATATAAATCCGAATTCATGATTTTTACATTTTACTTTTGATAAGCATAAATAATCGATTGAAAGATACAGTCACGGTAGTCTAGACTCATTAAAAATGGAATTAATTAATGTTTTAGCTGATTCTCAAAATGCGAGCAGTTCGCACTTTGCAAATAAATTTATAAATTATATGACTCTTGTGAATAGGACTGACGAGTGCTTCTTCATTTTATATATTTAAAATGTTTTAGTGTCGGCAACTTTAACTTTGAAGATAATTCTTTTTAGAAGAAATATTAAATGTATGATTTTAAATGTTTGATTTTCCTTATTGATATTATTTTATACAAAGTTATGCCGAAATTGACAATGTTAATGTTTAAGATTGGCCAGCAAATATTATATAAATAATTAGTCGAAAGAGAAAATACTTGCATTCTTTTTTTCTAGACTTAAAATAATCTTAATTAATATGTTATAAAAATACAGATTTTTTTGTAGAAATTCTATTTGATAATTTAAAAAATAGTAAAATAAAATTTTCTATATTATATTTCTGGATATAAATTAAGAAATAAATCGACAACTCTAAAGTAATAAATAATCAAACACGATATGTGTTTAATACGATTAAAATGATTAAAACACCAAGAAAAAATAAATTAAAATATGAAACATAAAAAGTCTCGTTTATTTAGATTTAATTTTTAACATCTCACTTTAGATCGTTATTAAAATATCAAGCCGTACGTGTTAATGCAGCTTTTACGTGCGAGAAAGATTTTACTTTCGGCGATCATTGCAGAAAGAGCGAGAACGTTTCAATTAAAAATAAACACCGTAGTATTACGAATCCGGATTTTTGCTGAAAAGAAAGAGGACGTCTGGCCATTTTCGAATCGCTGATAATATGGATGATCCGAATTTACATGTGACATTTATCGAGGTCGGCGCCAACTACTAACTTTTTGCGTAGACGAAATGGTTCTCGCCATCGAGAGAAAGAACGATCGAGATCTGGAAATAAATTTCTTCTGGACATTTCTTCGTGAAGATTTATACTTAGCTACCCGCCTCATCTATCGTAAATCCTAGAATTATTTGTCGACAGAACTTAAAAAAAATAAAAGTGAGTGTACTGGTCTATTCTAATAATCCGGTTTTAAAAGAAAAATAAACTACAAAAAATATTACAAGTCATATAAAATATTATTTGATTAAATTTGTTAAATTGTTGGCCGAGAAAAAAAAATATTTTGAAGAAAATCTGTGAAAATAATTTTCTTTGTTTATTCTATATTTTTATTATCTAAAAACATATATTACTTTTTTATATTTGGATACAGAAAACGTGTTTTTAAAAAATAAATGAATTATGTTTAAAAAATTAGAATAAAATCTGGCTTGCTTAATAGGATGTTTAGTAGGAAAATTCACATGAAGAATTGAGAGTCGAATATTAATATTAATGTGTATGATATTTTAGGTGGAAAATTGGCTTGATCGAACCTTTTTATGAACACTTTAAACCAACGGTTTCCGGGTGGGAGAGACGGGTGTTCGTGAATTGCATAAATCGGCAACCGTTTCTGATTTCGACACCGGAAACTGGCCCCTGGTCGCCCTCTCGTCGTTTGTTGCAAGCGCGAGATGTATAATCGTTTGTAGCGATTGCATAATCGCGAGCGCCGCGCCGTACTCGGCCCGGTCAGGCTCGGCGAAATCGCCGAAAATTCCACGTTTCGTTCGTCGCGCACCGGTTATTACACGCACGTTCCTCACGTCACTTCGGTGTATAGTGTATGTATGTATACATATGCACCGCATTCTGCATCGAATACACATGATCTGCATTATACAAGCGCTGTGACGTTACTTTCGCATCTTTAAGGCTCAAACCGCGGTCTTTACCAAAATTCGAACATTGTTTCTACATTTTTTGTGACACATCCATATATGTGCATTAAATATGTAGCAAATTTTTTATCTATTTATTTTTAATTTAATAATTATTTACTATGCAAAATAAAAGTAAATGCAAAAATAAAAGTGGGAAAAAAATTAAAATTTGCAATAAAATTAATATTTAGCAGACATTTCCTGTGCATTGCTTTAATATTGCATTAATTTAACATTTTTAATTGTTATATATGACATAAATCGTTTTTTTAAAGTCAATGACAAAAGTATGATGTCTATAATACAGATTACTTATAAGTAATTTATAAAAGATAAAGAATCATACTTGTAGGCAATAAAGATGTCAAATGTATAAACTACTAAATATAGCACATCAAGCATTAAGTGCCTCGTTATTGTTATGCAAATTGATGTAATCGAGGAGTCATTATGTAGGCGGAGTGTTTCGCGCCGTTCAAGAAAGAAAGTGAATTTCGTGTCCTCGAGGAAGCTCGACCCTGTCTTCTTTATTCTCTATCTTCTTTGTACCATTCACGTCAATTGTGTTTGATTATTGCAGACTTTGTAACATTGCATTATTTGCAACATGCAAATTTAATATTATAGAATTTATTATAGAATTTTTCTTTTTTTTCATATTTTTACACTTAAATAAATAAAATTTGAAAAATATTATACAACTAATTAAAACTCACTATTTACGTAAAATTAGTATAATTGTATTAAAATAATTAATAATTACATAATTAAAAGAATTACTATTAATAATAATTAATTGTTATTAAGTCAAAAAATTAAAAAGAAAATCTCTTTAGAAAAAAATCGATATTTTTTTTTCTAAATATTCATAATTATTACCTCGTCTATCTATAATGTACATAGTGATCCAGATCACCCTGAGGAGTCGGCATCTACGTATTCCTCTTGAAAAACTGAATCAAAAATGTTAATATCAAAATGATAAGATGTCAATGGTTTGTGAAAGGTGAGCTATTGAAACTGTCCAACCACAAGGTATTAAGAGCGCGTCATCAGGTACGGCGCGGTGTTTTTAAAATAATTTTAAATTTGCAATTGACTTTACATCAATTAAATTGGACTCAATTTAAGAATAAAAGCAATAGATGTTAATAAAGATTTTACCGAACCTTTGCAGTATTCGGTACCGTGCCTTTTAGTGGTATCCGCGGTCGCGCGCCGACCGACCGCTTGACTGCGCCACACCTGATGGTGCGTTCTTAACCCGTAAAGGACACCTGGGTGCGAATTCGCACCAAGCGTTTTTAAAGTTTTATATCTTCTGAAAACAAAAAGTAAAATTAAAGCAAAATGTGTTTCTCAATATAAATTTTCTGACCAATCGACTGGTAATATTAAATTTTCGAAAAAAGAACGTAATTGTTTTCAAACGCTTCGTGTTAAACAAAACCATTCAAAAGAAACATAGTCTTTATGGGTTAATGCCCTGTAGTTGAACAGTTTCATTAGATCATTATTCAAAAACCATTGACATCTCAACATTTTGCTATTAACATTTTCGACTCACAAGTTTTTCATAAGGCATACGTAAATACCGGCTCCTCCAGGTGACCTGGATCGCCCTGTATCAATATATAAATATCAATACTATTATAAAATTTACAAATAAAATATTATTTGTACACTTTGGAAATTGATATTTGTTTGAAATCTATTAATTTTTTTTATTTTATTCCATATGATGTTTATTGTTGCAGAGATATTGATAACTACCTAATTCTTATAATCAAGAGACTATATTCTGATACGACTTATTTGATTTGCCACATTTCTGTGTAATTATAATTGCTAGAGAATTTTAATATTAATATTAATTTTATTTTTATCCAAAGTACGCCTCTCTAATTTTGATTTAATTCTTTTTTTTTAATCTTTTCGATTGAAATGATTAATTGTCCTTTTCTGTCACAAAATCTAGACAGAACGATGTATGGTCGACCTTCACCAAGAATCATTTTAACTAAATGTTAAAATTGTACGCAAGTTTTGTCGGATATATATATCATAATATTATACACAGTAATAAATAACAAAACTTTTATACATAACATAGATAGAAACGCGTTTACGCATATAAAAAAATTACATCTTGAATTCGTTTACATTCCGCGGCCGCTTCGAAAATTTATGCAAATCTTATGCAACAGGCATAATTATAAAAATATACGTATGCTTTCCCTTTATCTCGAAATAATCTGAGGTATTTTATGTAAGTGTTTATTCACATTCCTCCACATATGCTTCGTTCTCAGTTGCATATTTACATACTTATTTTGACTCTTGCTTTATGTTTTCCGTAAACGAAGAAATACTAACAATCACTGAAGATACTTGAGAATGTAATTTAATACTGAATTACTTCATACATTTACTATTTTAATAAAATTTATATCATGTTCTTGTTTTTTTTAATTTATCCGAGTTTATCAGTAATACTATTAAAAAATCTATAGAATTAAAATATAATTTGATGCTTAAAGATGTTTGACTGAAATAGATATAAAATTTTAAAGAAACGACAAAGAGAGAAAAACGAAGAAAGAAAGAGAAAGAGAGAGCAAAATGATTGCTCAACCATCTTTGGCTAAAGTGATATTCGCATTTCGATAAAAAAAAAAAACCAGGTTGGTAAACGTATATGTGGCAGAAGTGACAGGTATCAATTACATTAATGCAAAATAACACAATGTGTTATTTTCTTATAATTTACTATTTCTTCATTTTTTACTTGTGTTATGTTTAAAATTTCATGTAAATTTTGTTTAATAAACGTTCAAATAAAGATTATCACAAAATATGTACACTTTTAGTTAAGAGTGTGTATTAAAGAAATTTTATAACAATAGAAACGTAAACATAAAATTATATTTGTAGTCAATATTATTTTTATTATTGTATTAAATAAGAAAATAGAAAATGTTTCAAATGTAGTTTTACACGAGAATAGAAATATTGAAGAGGGAGAAAAGAGATTATATAATTAAAATTAAAATTCATCTAAAATTGTTGTAAATAAATAACAATTCCGTGAAAAACGCATTTAAGGTATGACGTAACTGTTTGTTTAACTGTCAGTCGAAATATTCAATGCTACAATATTTTGATCAGATCATTTATCATCATAAGACCTTCGGGCGTTGGTCAATTTCCCTAAATCTGCCATTCATTTCACTCTATTCCGTAATCAAGGCGAACCACTAATGTCAGACCGTGAAAAATAAAGGCATGTATTGCCGAAATTTCGTGTAGCAATTTCACAGGCAAACGCTGTTGCAATAAATACTTCTACTTCGTCGCGCCTAAGGACACTGCTTCTCACGTTTCTCGCTTAGAAACAAACTGAGACAGTGTGAAAGGCGAATACACACATTTGGGCGAGGTGTAAAACGAAGTACGCGAAGCTCTGGTGAAACAACAAATCAGTAGCAAAAGCGAACCGAAAGATCATGAGGTCGGGCAATTAAATTCTCATTACGAAAGAACCTATGGGTAACTTAAACTCGCGCAAATGTACGACTTGACAACTTCTAAGTGCAGCAAGGACGTGCATAAAGATATCTAATCTCAAATAGTGCGTGAAAGTATTCGCATACTATTTATCGCGTGCTGTTAATAATGATGAAGATAAAGTTAAGAATAAATACGTAATTTGCAAAAATTTGATGTGTTTGTGTAATATATTATATATTATATAATGCTTTGTCATAATAGTATTGTATAATATATTATATAATAAACTATTGTATATATTATACAATAAGAAATTTTATAAATAATATTAAATATTTCATAGTAAATTTTTATGTTAAATATTTTATAATAAAGAAAAGACTGTGGCTATCATATATTCTCTTATTGAATTACATGTTGCGAAATCTAAAATTTAAATTATCTTGGTTCTAATTAATTTTGTGAAATAATTTTCAAGAAATACTAGAAGAGAAAAAAAGAAAGTCCTAGAAATTTAAAGTTAAATTCCTAGAAAATCATTAATTTAATTTTAGATATAATATTTCAAAATAAACTTGAAAATTATTCAAAATTAAACTCGCGGTAATAAAAATAATATTCTTTACATTGTTTATTCATACTTAATTCATAACAATTAAAAAGTGTGTAATATAAAATACAATATCTATAAATTTAAGAAAAATATAAATATCACGTTTATTAATAAAAAATTCCGAAATATTCAAAGAAGTTGTCGCCAGATTTTGATATGTGATGCGACCGACGTGATTTAAAATAATATTTGTGATATAGAAGACGAGCTATGGTTATAGAAGGAAAAGAAGAAGTCAATTGTTTCTTTACGAAAACATTTACAAAATTGATTTATTTCGTGAATTCAAGGTACTACACGACAAGAAGCGTCTTTTGAACAGACGCTCGTCGTGATGGATTTTTGGCTGCTGGGAAAAGGGTTACGATGGAGCGGGGTGGTGTGTATGTGATTTTTTTCTTGAGGAGAAATTCATCTAGTAGTGGCCGTAGCCCTTAATGTAAACGGGAACCGTTTCTTTGACGACGACGGGAACTTTGACTGGGACTGGAACTGGGTGGGAGACCGGAACTGGAACGGGGTGGGAGACAGCAACCTGAAAAACAAAATATCGATATTAATTAAAAAATATAAAAATATATAGAAATAATTAATCAGTATAAATAATGGAATTAATACAAATAATATGCATAAGGTAATTATTGGTCGATTTACTATCATTACAAATCTATTGTTATTATACAGCTTAAAAATAGAGTAATAACAGATTATATAATTCTGGCCAATGTTCGCATTAATTCGACCGTGCATATTTCAATCGTCAATTGCAATTATTGATCGATGGCTTCAAGCATAATTTTATTTTAATTTAGTTACAACAACGACTGTAAAATTATAGTCCAATCAGCAGTCTATTGCATCTCTCTTGTGTGCGCTTACCTAATCTCGCGTAACGCATAAATAAATGATCAAAACTATAATTCTTATTGAAATATCGCAACACATTGAATAAGGATACCAATTAATCAACGTAGGCGGGAAATTAGCTATACTGGTAACCGCGAGCACTCAACGAAACTGTTAATAATCATGTCTCGAAAACGATTTCTACTTGTTGCGCTAGACAGGTAAAGAATTATAATGAGATAACACATATTATTATAATGAGTTAAATACGTTATTAGGATGGAATAATTAAAATTTATCAAAAATTACGTTTTGAAATATTAAGACGCAATGGTTTTCTCATTTAGAAATTACAATATATAAAATCTGATACAAAATTTGCGGTTTCTAACTTTTATCAGAATTTTTACCTGTCACGTCAAATTAATTTATTTTCTAATCTTTTGTAAAAATTGTAAGATTGAAGCCGCGTCGCGGCTAATGGAAAATTAGAATTTGTTATAATTTACCTTGACGGGTACTGGGTATGGAGCAGGTACGGGCACTGGCACCTTAACATGGACTGGATAAGGCCTGTCTACGGGAACCGCGATCGTCTTGGTCTGGATAACGGGGTAGGGCGCTGGCACCGGAACGGCTACTGGAACAGGCTTCGGGACCTCAACAGGAACCTAAGCATACAAAGAATTCATTGTCAGATTACATTATATGTCAAAACGAATTCTATAACATTTATTTGGTCTTTTGTTTTTTTCGTCTATTGTATTAAATGTTTAATACAATTGTTTACAATTATTTTAACAACTTAGTTTTTAATTACACAAATTTTAATATTATTTAAAATGTAAAAAATATAAACACTAAATTACATTAAAATTAAATTAAAAAGTTAAATTATTTTAATCGATTAATTCAATAGTTTTTAGGAACATTTAAAATTTAAATATACAAATTTTATTTATTTTTTGTTTATATAATTTAAATCATGAAAGTTATATGTAAGATTATTATTATTTGTCCACAATATCATCTAAAAATTAAACTGAATTCGTACCTTGACGGGGTAGGGGCGATCGACGGGAACTGGTTGCGGGACCGCGACTGGGACAGCGACAGTCTTCTCTTTAATGGCGATGGCAACGCCGTGGCCACCATAACCACCATCAAGACCACCAAGACCACCATATCCACCAAGGCCACCAAGGCTACCATATCCACCATCAAGGCCGCCATAACCGCCAAGTCCGTAGTCACCCAGGCCGATCAGACCACGCTTCTTGACCGTCTTCTCTTCGGCGGCGAACGCCGCGGAGATCAGTACCAGGCAGATCTGCAAAACGAAAAAGGAAACGTCAATCAAAAATCTATAAAAATCTGTATGAATCAATTATTAGAGAAATCTATATGAATCAATATTAACAGATATATATATGTTATAACAAAGCTAATAGTCTAGAATGACAACTAATTAATAAAATCGCAGTTAATTTAAAAAAAAGATACAAGAACAATACGATTTTTTAGCAAAAATTTTCGCATAAATGTATCAAGGTCTAAAAATAATTAAAATATCCGTCCGATCTAGTTTCAATTAGAGTCATCAAAATTGATAAACTCGAGGAAATTACATTGAATAAAATCGTGAACTAAGGCGCAAATGTAATTAATAATATAATTAGTAATGCACTTTAATTTAATGATTTTTAAAATAAATAAAGATAAACGAATCAAACGATATATACGCGAAATAATATTAACGAATCTTATAAAGTTGACGATTATCATGAATATCGATCCAGAAGTTGAAGATCTGTGCACGGGATTTAAACTTCGCACAAATAACAGATTTTTCCAATTTTGATGTTAGGCTTTCCAATTAGGCTTTATAAAAGTTACACTATGACAAAGCACGGAAAGCGTAGAGAGAAATTAATTCGACACGACGACTCGTAAACTTCTCAATCTGATTATAGCATTATACGTCCGAACGAAAATGTTTCTCAGCAGAAGATTAAACGGATCTCAGCACTGCTTCTTTAACTTTGCTCGGAGATGTGACGGCACGTACCAGAGCCCTCATGTTGAACGATACTTTAGCGTGATACTCGCGCGTGAGTAAAATAGATCGGTTTCTGTCGTTGTCGGGCTGGAAAACCACCCTTTATATAGGGAATTGACTTTCATTTCGCGCACCCTGCGCCCCGCCGATTGGCGAGGGAAGCCAACGGCCGGTCTATCGCCACACCTACCTAGAGCCTAACACTATTTACCCACGATATACTGCACACAAGTATACGTATGTTATAACACATAATGTGCAACGGTTGTATAACACGCTAAACGTGTGCGCGAGCCTTACTCGCTGGTAAATGGAGCGCGCGCTTGGCCACCACTTTATGCAGATATGCGTGCATATGTGAGTGCATTTCGATGCCACAACCTTAACGAGACCATTTTTCCACCCCGCCGAGAGATCTACCTCGGCCGTGATGTCACATGCGTCATTGGAAACTCGCAGGATCTTGTTAGCGGGCGGCGCTCGCGCTTACAACAGTCCTTTTTCTCGCGGTCATTTCATTGAAGTTCTTCATTACGAATTCATCGGAATTTAATTAGACTTAGATCGTTGTGTGTAAAATATATTGTGAAATATATTTTTAAACGTGCATGCACGGCAAATCCAAGTATGTATATCTAAATTTTTACACATTTTATCTGTGTCTTACACAGTTAAATGCATATTTTTTACACGCTTACACATATTATTGTAAAATTAACCGTGTAAAAATATGCATTTAACTGTGTAAAACACAGATAAAATGTGTAAAAATATAAATGCGTAAAATATTACTACAGATTTACACACTTGGATTTGGAGTGTAGTATCTTGCAATTATTAAATACTTTTTTTTTACTGTAGACTCTTTAGAAGATTGAATGCAGTCTTTTTCTTCAACAAAAATCGAAGCTGAAGGCGTCTGTGGTTTAATTATTTAATTAAAACTTAATTGAGAGGTTTATAATATAATTAACTTTTAGAAATTAATAAAGAATTTCTGGGGCAATAAACTTTAGAAGAAAAAATAAATACTAAATAAATAATAACAGAATGATATATTCTTTAGCTAATTTGAAACGGTCGATTTGCTTCAACAAAATTATAATTGCAATATTTTTAAATAAATAAAAGAATGTATAACAAAATACACAACTAAATTATGTTAAATTATTGTTTAAAACAATATATATATATATATATATATATATATATATATGTTGCATCTAGTTCTAATCTGTTGTGAAATATCTTTTATATTTATAATGCAACGCGATCATGTGTAGATATGAAACGACGAATTTCTAACGCAACACATGCATAGCGCAGTACTAATTGTAACACGTGAATTTATTCTCGCCCATGTCCGGCGGCTGTGTCGGTTTACGCAAGATTGCTCAACGCTTCATTACGAGGTAAAGCAGCTTAGCTCGCCGCGCTAATATAAATCATGCGCTGCGAGGAACGCCAGTGTCTTCTATTGCGGTGTGCACTATTATTACGTTACGCACCCGCCGTATACGAAGTGCAGATTGCCCATAAGGTAGCAATTCCGCAGGTATTATCATTGCCATCTGCAAGACTGATATGTTGGTTTTACGCCTGTAAAAATTACCATTAACGGCGTGAATCGCCGGCTGATTGATCTACGGCGATTTTATCCCTGTCCGCCGATTGATTTATGGGCAATCCCTTATTCCTGAGAAATTAATTGTTAGTTTACTCTCACGTCCGCCGTAAGCCTCATTGGACACCTCGCATCTGCGTTTCGAAATGAGGACTTTAATCATTGCAAGGGAATCACCTTCAACACTCCGGGATTAAAAAAGAAAATTATATCTTTGTGTGATCACATACATATTTATGATGTTTTTGTATTTTGATAAATGGAAATTTTTCCTAGATGCAGTTAATAATGTAGATTTATAACTTTAATAAAATCTCGATACTTTATTAACTTAAAAATTATATATTTTCTTTAACTTCTTATGTATATATTAAATTTGCAATAAGTTGTACAATGAGGAAATGCATAAAAATTATATATTTTTTTTAACTTCTTATGATATATATTAAATTTGCAATAAGTTGTACAATGAGGAAATGCATTAGTATCACAAGATAGCGGCGCGGTGAATTGTTTAAATCACGACATTACGACAAATAACATGTAACATTCCTAAGTTGACATAAGGCGATTAAGTCTGTCACGTTGGCACGCAGAATGGGCCCCCTATCGTTTCACTACTACGCCCAAACAAACGTTTCCTGGTTTAATGTTCATTTATCTTTCTTAGAGTACAGACCAAACACCATATAAAGTCACTTGTATATTTTACGAGCGGCACTTTAAGTCGGATTGTTAGCAGCCTAACGGTGAGAGTTTTTATACACTTAGTATTCATAGCTTTTTCACACTTAAATTTTGCTATAATTTATTACTACCTTTAGTTTCTTAACTCATTATTAATTTTAATTTATTATTCCTTAATTTTCCAATTATCTAATTTTTTCAGAGATTTTATTAATTACCATAATACCATCACGAAATTTAGAAAACAAATTCATACGCAATTTGACAAAAATAGATAATAGATACTTTGAATTAATCTACATTTTTAAGAGCATGTCCTTAAATATACATCGCAACTTATTATCACCGATAATTAAACGTCAATAAATTTAATATAAGTTATTTCACCGTGACGTCTGTCCTCCGACATTCGTCCGGAATAATTATATTTCTATTTCTTGTCCAAAGCAAGGTCTCAAGCGTTTAATCCGCACGTACTATTGCGTGATAGCGGAATAATGATAGGGATATTCAACATCACGCTATTCGGAAAAGGTTCGGTTTTGCCGTCTCCTGCGATTACTTAGCGTAAGCTTGTGCTCGCCAGATCTTTAAACAAGTGCAATTTGTAGTGGAATGTAAACGGTCACACGATCGCGCTCGCTTGTCTGGCTCGAGTGCCTTTGATCGAGGCGCAGTTAATTCGCTAATGCCGCATGTTTTGATTGATCTCATTATCCGGTGATCGCCATAGAATTGATATTGATTAATGCTTATCATAGTTACATAATTGAATTGTCCATCAAGATGTATATCTGTATGTATTATGTGTATTGTGTATTGTTGACATTACATTACGATTTCGAATAAAATAAAATTTTGTATGTTGTTATTATCTTATAAATTTAATTGTTTATTACTGTGATTAAAATATATTTGGTAATTGTTTATTATTTTTTATTAAGAAAATTAATAAAAATTATTGTCTATGATTTGCTATTTTGTTACAAATTTTGCATTAACGGTTCGCTATAATGTACAAAATATCGATATAAACACCACGGTAATGACTGGTTCGATAAACTTATGCGCGCTGTTACGTATAAAGTGTTTTTTTTACATCAAATAACGATAAGTATGCATAAGTAGTGATAAGTAGATATGCTTATTGAGAAAACGAATGTTTTCTTCGCCGAAAGGTAAATAGAATTAAGTAAAAACTAGCGTATAATATTTTGCAAAAAGTAAAAATCCGTTACGATATCGACTTAACTTTCAAGGATACTTCAATACTTTGACGATACTTTCATAAACTTTATTATTCATGAGATGTTTTATTACAAATTATTATATCCAGACGAATTGCGCCATTATTTCGTTTTGCATCACACATATATCTTTTGTACTGTTAACGAAATAATAAAAAAATTATATTATTTTAAAAATAATGAATTACATTAAAATTTAATAAATTGATATTATTAAGCTTGCAATAATTTAGGTGGTTGTGCAATTCAGGGAAAAGAGAAAGAGAGAAACTGTGGATATATAGACTCGATGTAAAAATTCTTTGACGTCACTTCTGAGGAAAGCGGGAAGGCAACTGAAGCCTGTATTCTATTCATAGATTTTGATTCAAGAAACTTATTATTTTCTAATTACATTATTAAAACGATACAGTAGATATAACAACAGAAAAAAAATATATCAGGAAAAAACTGTCATTAGATATAAGATTATACCATTATGTGTATAGCTATTTCTAATGTGATAGGATTTATAAATAGAAGAAATAACGATCTAAGCAGATTTAGGAAGAAATAGAAATTTAAAGTCACACGAATCGTCAAATTTAACAGAGCACAAAAAAAAAGAATAAATCGAAAACTTAAATGCTTACATTATAGACGCTTCATTAATTCGAATATTTCAAATTAAATAGTTGAATAGTCGCTCGAGATTTCGTAATTCTGGACTGAATTGACCGAATAAATATAGTTTTCAGAAGTTATCGCAGAAGTAATCGAATAAATATAGTTTTCAGAAGTTAGGCACCCTTGTACCGACGACACGTCGGATGTAAATTGCATCAACCAGCTTTTCTCACGCGCACAAAATCGCCCGTGCGTGAAGCCAGAACCGGGCTGTTTTTCGACACGCTCGAGCTCGTATTTATGTCTATAATGTGGGATCCGGTATACTAATCGATCGAACGAATATCGAAACATCGAAGAGCGGTCGCGAACCTGGGGTGACACACCTCTGAGCATTATTTCCGTCCGGCCAGGGTTCTCGATCTCGATATCACGTTACGCAATCGCGCGCCGGCCGCCTCGGCAACGCCTCGCTCCGTAACGTCAGCCGAGAAAATAAATGAGTTATCCTTACGTTCTGCGAATGGAGAATGGAAACTGGCGACAACGGCGAATAGGTTCGGTGACACGCAAATATACTAATAACAACTAGGTAATATACATATATGTACTAATAATATTCATGAGAAAGATAACGTGATTTTTAGACTGTCAAGTTTCGACGTCATACGTGGAAAAAAAAATTATTTGACATTTAATATATTATTTATGTATTATTATTGTCGCATTTATATTAAGCTAAAAATTGTGTAAAAATGGAATTTTTAAATATTAATTAAATAATACAGAATTTATAATAAGTATATATTATTATTAACTACTCACTTGTAAATCTTTCGAAGCTTTTATTTATCTATGTTTTAATCCATCATTAATTTAATTTATACAACATTTCTTTAATCTATAATAATTTAGTAAAAAATAATTTTTATCTATTATATTAATTACGTGGAATATATAACTTTGATTGATATTTTGTCTTAGAATTCTTCGAGTTTTACATCAGACATTGGTAAATAAAGACTCACTGTGCAAAGATCACAATTAGTCTTTCACAACAACTTGATACTAAAGTCATTACGACGATCGCGTTTACGGTCATTTTTATTGTAATCGATTCCTCCTTGCTTCACGCTTCTTGATCAGGATCGACTCTATATCGGGGCGCGAAATCAGTGGAGTGATACTAACAACGTACGTACGTAAACGCGCGTGCGTTACAAAAATCAGGCAGGCAGGCAGCCGTGTTGCAGAATACGAACGTCATTGCCTGCTCGCTCAAGCCTCAAGAAGAATTTGCCTTAGCGATAATTATGAGTCACACGCGAGAGAGACCCGCGGCACTCGCGGGGAGATTTTGTAATGAGAGACATGTCACTGTTAGTTTAATAGCCACTTCTCAGTTCCAGGCTGCACAAGAAACCGGCGACAATGGGTTCTCTGCTGCCCGCTGCAGTCGACAACCGCACTCGGCATTCTCGCTATAGAAGTTTCAGCAGGAACGAGGATTTTTCTGCGGTTTCCCGGAAGTCTCAGGACACGCGGAAGCGTGTGCTGCTCGCGTGGCGATCTTGCTTGGAACCGGAGAAAGGTCGAATTCCTTGCGGTTTGCCTTGCAATGGCAGATAAATTGGGCAGATAATCTTCACACAAAAAAAATCTGATTTAATCTTGCAAAATTACATAAATTTGATAAGAGTATGTATATATAAATTTCAACGCGCATATATCGTGTCAATTGATGTGAATCTGAACTTTATTATCCCATAACATCTATATAAATGCGTATGCATACAAATTAATAAAAACGAAAGTAAATAATGTCGGAGGATAAATGAATCAGGTTTATTATTCAGGCTATTTATTCGGGTCGATCGGGTTTTTTTTTCCACAAGATTTTGCCTCTTGCTTCTGTTATTCGGTAAGAGCGACTTTTGGGTATTGCGGATAAAAAAGGTGCGAGCGCATTACTTTCGGCGATCGGATCGACGTGTGTGCACAAGGTAACGTAACAAACGACGGACCCGATCCTGTGTCGCGCTTACGTAAGATGCAGATCTTGATATAAGTGCGGTACGGTTGCAGTTTTCACCGGTCGGGTCGCCAGAAAGTGAGAGTCACAGTAATGGGATTTGCAAAGCCTTATAATTTTTATAATCGTATCAGAAAGCTGATCAGAGAGAGAGAGAGAGAGAGAGAAAGGGGGGGGGATAAAAAATATTACAATTTCTTATAACAATTTAAAAATTGGAAAATGCATATAAATTCACGAAAAATATTATTAGGTAAGATTCATTTTGACCGAATAAGGTTCTTTTTGCTTATTCGGGTTATTCACATTTTCACTTATTACATATATAAAAGCTCAATGCAATCAGCTAAGTCAAGGATCAAAGTGATAAAAAAATTCTTACATACATCTTTATGATAAATTTCTAAAAACTCATAATTATTTAATTCATCTTATAATTAGGGGAAAAATTAAGCTGTACACATTAATAGAATATCATATCAATATTACATTATACGTTTAGACGTGATAAATGAACGCTTATATAAAATATATAGAAACCTCTGAAGGAAAATTTTATAATAATAGCACAATTCCTTTTCCTACATCAAGAACTGTTACCGTTCTTTCTTTTCTCTTTTTTCTCTTACTTTAACGGTCTTTCTTCGCTCGAGTTGTGCTCCTTTGTCTTCCGACGCGACATGTAACGCATGGACACGCCGCGCCGTTGCACTCCGTCGCGATGATGCAACTGCAACGGCTTCACGCATTCTTCGCAAGGACTCCGAGAGCGGGGCGTGGTTGCGATCGACCAACCGACCGACCGATCGACCGACCGGCCGAACGGCTTATCTTCCACAAGGAATCGCACGTACGCACGTGTGCACGCGCTTATTTTCGGCGTGATCTGTTTTTAGCCGAGAGAAAAATAATGTTACACACACTCGGCGAAATCGTGTCGCGTAACGAGGCACTTTAAAGACGTAAGCGAGAAAAGTGCATCTCGAAACTGTTGCCATTTTACATTTTATTAAGTTAAAATAGTTACGTCATATTTCTTACATAAAATAATAAAAAGCATCGAATGTATTTTTTAATAATAATATTTACGTAATATGTATGTACAATTAAAAGCAGGATACTTATATTTTAGTAATAATAACGATGTGAAAGATGTTAAGAAGACATAGAAGAGAGGAGACATAGAAATTAAATATATGTTTATTCGTTGTTAAATCACAACTTTTCTCAGTATTATTATCTTTGATTCAATATGAGTATATATTTAATTTTCAATTCCATGAAAAGCGAAGAAAATAATCGCAAGTGCTTCTGAAGTGCGCCGTCGCGCGCGCATGTATGTATATGTGTACGGGATCTAAAAATAGTAAACATACACAACTGATTTGATAAATCAACATTTTTAAGTATGTACAATATGTATAAACGCGCAAGATATACGATTTACGAATGATATTTTCAATCGCAAAGCGAATCAAAACACAGGATGCTACTCGCAGTTTGATAAGTTTTTGCATGTAAAAAAAGATGACGCGCCGTGACACCATCGCCCCGTATTTCGTAATTGCTCGTCAGTTTGCACGGTGCCTCCCGGAAAATTATAGACGTACTTATAGTATTGCAAATCGTTGTTTTTGCGCACATATTTTTATCCGTTTTTAATCGAGATATTTTCCTATTCGAACACCTTTTGAGCACTGAATCGGTGACAGGTTGGTATCAATATTTGTTAATGCGGCTATTTCAATCAATTGACACTATAATGCACAAACATCAAAATCGAATGGAAAGTTTCATGAAGTTAGCAGCAATTCAATTGAATTTGATATTGAGACGAAATTGATATAACATGATCGAAGTCTGACAATTAATACTCGATTGATATCGCTGTAATAACGCTTCAATGTTGCTTTTGATCGCAGATCTCATCATCCCAATTAATTAACATCGCGCGGCGGGAAACTTCAAACTTCCCGGCGACGCGACGCGCGGACCACGCGAAACGGACCGGACGATCACGTGACCGCCGAAATTTTCTAATACCGTCGGCCAGTTCGCGTCGCGCGTCCCCGGTGATTAGACGAGTCGTACGGAAAGTCGGCGACGCGCATCTCTTCGCCCGCATTTTGATCGTTATTTTGCGTATCTAGGGTTGTTGTATCAAAATTTTCAAAACTAGAACTTACAAGCCTGGACATTTCGCGTGCAATCCCGGACGCATATATATATATATATATATATATAAAAGCGTGTGTTGTAGGTTAGCGGCTCGTTTCTGAATAATTACGCCGAAGGAGTCAAAATATTTAAAAGATTGCTTGAAAATTTTAAAATCCCGGACGCTCATAACTATTCCGGACGCCTTCGGAAAATTCCCCCGGACGATCCCGGACGTCCTAAAAAAGAGGACAGTGTTCGTGGAAAAGAGGACAGATGGCAACCCTCGACGTATCGGAAGTGCCGAATTCCGTCCGGTGGAGACGGACGATGATCTCGACGCAAGCCAGCACCGATTCGCCCGCGCGATAATCGCGACTGTTTGGACGATCGTCGATCCGCGACATGGGTTTCCATGTATTTCCGTATATATCTCCTTGTCGAATCTCGTTTCCGCAATCGCACTTATCAAGATCTGAAAGTATCAGTATTGAAAGAAGCATCAAGGGGCATCAAGGAGCATCGAGGAGCATCGTAGAGCAACGAGGAGCATCGCGGAGTATCGCCGGCGGGGGACGGGCGGAAGAGTTTGTTTAAATTTCGTATCGGCTATTTTCCGCCATAATGGCACCAGTCGTGCTTAATCGCTTCCTGAAATTTCGCGAGGCCGTGAAGTCAGCTGGGAAACGTGGAATTGATTCGCGGTCGCCGGCCGACTGCAACGCGATTCGGTCGTGCCGTCGAATATCAGTCGAGCCGTTCGATCATGTCGTATATTCTTGGTAATCTCTGCGACGACTACGATAACGCGATATCGCGCGTATCTAAAAAAATTTGCGAAAATTTACTCGCGAATGTCGGGAGTGTCGAATGAGTTTAACGCGGGGCGATCGTATTAACGGTGATTCGCGAGTTGACGCACGCTATCGTACGTGATTGTGTTCTCTTGGGATCGATATCGACCGAGTGATATCACTGACATCGACACAGCGATATCTGACAGCGCGTGTTGTGTTTCGTATCTTTCTATGGTTGCGCATTATTCGGGAGATCACGTCTCGCGGATGCGTCGATGAAGGAGTATCGAGGACCATTGGAGGATCAGAAGTTAAGTTAATCATCTGCATCGGTTTCAGCGATCGGTGAGTTGAAATAATTCACCTTTTATTTGTCCTTTAAATCGAAACATTTAATTCTGAAATTTGACGATCGTTTAAAGCTCAAAATTTTTTTGCGCAATAAATATATGTATATTTACTTTTTGAAAGGACGAATTGATTATTATAAAATAAAATACTCATATTATGTGTGTATACATATACATATTTAATTTTTATTATTATCACATGTAATTATATTACAAGAATAGATTTCAGAAATTACATGTTTTTAATCAAATAATTTTTAGAGGTTTTAATTTAAGGATTAAATTATTTGTAATAAGAGTAAAAAATGTGGAAAATAAAAGGGAAAGGAAAAAATGCGAAATATCGATAATAAGTAGCCTTATTGAAAAATAGTAGAACAATAAATAAATTAAATTTTTGAAAACTATTAAAAATTATTTCGAAAAAGAAAATAGTATCGAAAATTTGGACATTAAAATTTGGATTTGTTAATTAAATAAATTAATATATACTCTTGTAACGATGCTAACTAACGCACCGCGCCGGTATAATTGCGCTGAAAATATATCGATATAAATTAAGCTTACGAAAGAATTAATTATCGTCAATGGATAAACAGGCGACAAGCGTTAAGTATGTTCGGTCAACGTGGAAATATATGTTAGGCTTTAATAACGAATCGCGTTGCGGGCCGCGGGCGCCCGATCGAAAGTACTGCCGTTGCATAATGTCGGGAAAATTCAATTGAACGTCTTGCAAATGTGGCGTTGCGTGCCTTAAGTATCGCCCGCGTCTTGCGACAAAATATTATGCGCGTCGTTCATTACGTTGCACATGCAAGTAACGGGAAAATTATTGCGGCGGATTATTGCGAATCGCCGTCGATATTGCTCTCGAATTCCTCTCCGCTGTGTAGCAATCTGTGAGCGCGTTTTCGGAAACTCGAGACTGGTAATTATTCGTAAAAGGCATTTCGTGATCATTTGTAATTATTCATAAAAATCGAGAGAGCTGTCTTTTGCGAACGAAATGCGGCCCGGATAATTGCTTCGCGGATAATTACTTACAGTTTGAAAAATATTACCGCAAAGCGCGCGGTGGGTAGCGCCCATGTTTTATTACATCGTTTAGAATGCAATAGATTTAATAAAATTAAATTGTTAGATATTTAACAAGTAAAGACAAGTCTAAACCACATGCAAAAAGAAGAGAGAGAAAAAAGAATTCAATTTTATTCATTAAAAATGCTATAAATTATTTATATATAGAGATATTTTCTTTCATTAAAATTTTTAATTTTTATTATGCATTATATATAATTTTTATGTGTACATAATAATTTCACACACATATACATGTAGAATTATTTATTTTCACGATATTAATTTAACTATTATTTTATATTAATATGAAAATTTAGACTTTGTGTAATTGAATTTATGTCCCGTATATTGGAAATTTTGAAGAAATAATTTTACATGCCGCAATTAAAGTAGAAAACATTTAGGCTATTAAGTCTGAAA